CCCCAAAACCCCAAAACCCCAAAACCCCAAAACCCCTAATTGGATTGTTAAATTTTAAAGATTTATTATTAATATATTAACTCATTGCTCCAACAATGGAAGAAATATTTGATAGAGAATTAGTGGAAAAATGCAAATTCGCCAACTTCGCAAGAATGAGGTTCAGATCCCAAAAAGAAGCTTTCACAGAGGATCAATTTTATGAACTTTCCATGAAGTTTTAGGAAATATAAATACAATATCTATCATTTAAATCACTGCTGTCTTGTTATCCAACACGCATATTTTGACCCCAGGGCTGATAAATATGCAGAGATGATGAAAATCTGGAGCAAGCATTCTAAGAAATCTAGGTAAGTACTTTTACCCTCATAAATTCTACCAAATAATGGATAAAGTACCATTTCAACAACAAAATGCATTATTTCTCTGACTTAATTCTGTTTATAGCCAGTCAAGCATGAGAGAAGAGGCAAAATTAGCCAAGAATTCTGCTAAAAGAAAGGACCCAAAAGGAATTTCCCGGAAACTAATAAACTCATATAAAAAGAGTATGTCAACTAGCCAGTGCTTTAAAAATAATTCGAAAAAGAGCATTGGAAATAATGGCGGAAAAATCATTTCAATGTCTCAGCTTAAGGACATGAGGGACTCAGTTCCCAAGAAGATTTCTGACCAAAAGATTCGTGTAAATAAGCCCTTTAAGAAGAGCAGAAATTCCAGCAAACACTCTGTGTCTCGGCATAGTGGCTCTCAGATGAAAACTTACCAATCTGTCTTAAAGAATCGGAAGGATCTCAATGCCCAAAATGTAACCTCGCCTGAGGAAAAGAAGGCTAGGAGTGGTAAAACTGCTAAAAGTAGTATGACTAGTAGCACCCAGACCAACACAGCTAATAAGAAGAAAAGAGGCAATATGAAATCCTATGCAGAAACTAAGAACAATCTTTGAGCCAATTTCTTCAACATCTCTGAAAATAAAGACAGAATAAAATGTGAGAAAACGACTGCTGTAAAATACGATAGAGAAATGAAGAAGAAGCTCAAAGTACTTGGAAGGAACAACGATACTCTAACTCACGAAGGTTTTCATGACTTACTCAACCAGACCCAGTCTGGCTATGCAGACCACAACCAGACTTTGGAAATAGAACTCCTCAAGAAAGGTGACGAAACCTGCCAAGTTATCCCTTCGTCGAATGTATGATTCAGTGGAAGGCATTCTCTAGCCCCAAGCAGTAATAAAAATAAAAGTATCAAGATCAAAGGAACTAAATCACAGAACAAATTGAAGAAAAATAAACAGAAAATCAAGAAAAGCACCGCCTACGATTTCGTCCAATTTGAAAATAGGGACAACCTTGATAGCGAAAATCCCTCTGTGACTTTTAGAGAAGAGAAAAAGGACAGCTCCAGAAGGAATAGTATCAACAAGAGCATGATTAGGATCAAGAGTTCGAAGTACTTGTGCTCCCAAGATGAGAAGAAGAGGAGTCTATGTGCTAGGAGAGCCTCTCATAATACTAAATCTACCAATCATTTGTTCCATCTCCCCACTCAATCAGAGTTGAGGTATAGTAAGAACTACACTACAAAGAACAAAAATGCAGGGAAATCAAAAACTAAATTTTTTGGAAATTCCAAGAGGAATTCTGGATCTATGACTACCAAGAATAAATCAAAGGTAAATATTGCAAGGAGTGTATCCAATATCAAGCCAAAACAGAGAGTGAAGAAGAAAGCTCTCACAGGGTTCATATCCTCAACAGATTTTAGAATGAAGAAGATTGCCAACACAAAACAACCCTCTAAGCCAACTGATGATAAACCCGACATTATGCCAGAGAATGAGGGTAGTAGCTTTAAAAATAGTAAAGCGAGTGTCCTAAAACAAACACCTCCACAATCAATAGAGATGAAGAAGCCTAGGGATCGTCTGAGCCAGAGAGGCCTAAGTATCCAGATAAATCTAATCTCTTATCCTAACACCGACACTAAGGAGCCAAAGAAGTTAGAGTCTTATGACGCAAATGATTGGAAGACAGAGCAGAAGAAGGACGGATATTTCTCCAAAGAGAATATTTCCAACCTCCGAAAGAGTCCTCCCCAGAAGCAACAGAAGAGCCATCGCAAGAACCAGAACAATTTCAAGAGATTTGATAAGAATTGCTTAGCTGAGGCCAAGCACAAACTCGAGCAACAGAAAGACCCAGAAATCGAGGAGGCTGAAAATAAAGAAATCATAGAAGAAAATATCCGGAAACAGCTAGATTTCAGTACAAATGCAATCAACAAGGAAGAAAATATGCATCCTAACTGTGCTCCTTTAAAGACAGATAGGACAGAGAAGGAATCTGAGAAGAGAAGGATGACCAATACTATCCCTCTTGGTGATCCTAATAGGATGGAAATTCAGAATTCAGCTCCTCACAAGAAAAAGAATGATGATGAATGGCTCAACACTGTCTTTAGTACAGAAGAAGAAAAGATGAGCTTTGAGGAGAACAGAGGTAGATCCATCAGTAATGGGAAAAGTAGTCAAAGAGCAGGAAGTAACAACAGCAATGGGTCCAAGATTATAGTAAAGAAAATGGATCCTCAAGGGTCTCTCCTTAGCTCAACTTTCCAACTAAGTTCACAGCTGTTAAGCTCAAGGCTAAGTTACAATCTCTCAGCTTCAGAAAGTGGAGGAGTTGTAGAGACAAAAAGCCAAGAAAGTAAAGAAGAATCAAACCCTCAAAGTGTCCCTAAGGTTTGCACAGAGAATCAGCTTCAAGCAAGTGCTTGTACGTATGATCTCTCAGATAGCGAAGATGAGCCTACTCTAAACGTTTCTAAGAAAAACAACCTTGAACGAAATCCTTCAAATCACCTGAAGAATTACCAAAGTGAAGGGGTCTCAAAGATGAACCCTAACAACAAGATTTTCATCCAAAACACTTATATGGATGAGAATAGGGATGATGAGTTTGGGGACCTCAATATAGAACTAACCAACCCAGAGAAGACAGACCATGATAATTACTGAGATAAATCTCTTGAGGAAGAAGAAATCAAAAGAGTTGAAGTCTCTGATATTATAGACCTTGATTACTCTTCCCAGTCAACTTTGAAAGAAATCCCACAAAAGCAAGTCCCTCAAGGAGTAGCTAATGTCCAGATCGACCTCCAGCATGACAGTACTGAAGAAGTGGAGGTTGTTAAAAGCTTATACGAAAGCCAGAGTAAGTGCCTGAATAGACAGCTCCTTCCACACTTCAATAATAGGTTCTAATTGTGCCACTTTAGACAACTCCATTGAGCAAGACCGGTCACTCGAATACAACAACACAGATAGTTACTCAGATTGTTCAGAAGAGTATCAACAAAAGAGTTTCAGAGAGAATGGCTATCTCTTCAAAAAGTTGGATTTCATGAAGAAGTAGGCATATAAGAAAATACATAAATAATTCCTAACTTTCAATAATAAAAACTATTTATGGGGTTTTGGGGTTTTGGGGTTTTGGGGTTTTGGGG